TAGTTCAATCAAGCATTCATCAAGATCGGATCGCCGTCCTACATATCGAACCCAGTTCAACATAAGCCAAGCTAGTCTCGGTCACCCGACACTATACAGAACGACTTCAGCCCAACGGAAGCCAAACTCACTAGGCCCACCAACGCTGCAGAGATCGACTATAGTCAACGGAAGCCAAACTCACGGCCTACCAACGCTACTACACGGATCGACCTCAACACACGTAAGTCACGCTATTACACACTTTCTTACGCACCATCAATGCAACTGAGATCGACTCCACACACGTAAGCTACGCTATACACACGTTCTTACGGATCACTAATACATGGCTCCCATCAACTAATAAGCAGCAATACTAATAAGTGGTATACGGTAACGAGGAATCCTCCCACCCGTCAAGCAGTGATGTGACACGAATATCCTCCCTTAATTCTGCATGGCTTACTTTATTTTCAACGCCAGAGGTAAGAATTAAATATTTTAAAAACAAGTCTAAATATTATTCTTTGTATTTTATAACTAATTTTAATATCTTAAACAATTAAGTGTCAAAAATTGATCTCGGGTGAAGATATATCTCTAGATTTACGTGATTTACGAAAACATACACAATATTATGGAGGTTTTCATGATAAACATCGAGTAATTTGTTGGCTTTGGGATATTCTTGAAAAAGATTTTTCAGAATCTGAAAAAGGTCTTTTCTTAAAAGTAAGTTTTTAAATTATATTTTAATTTTGAATATTAATAAATTATTAAACAAGAATTTCTTAAGTTTGTTACTAGTTGCTCTAAATCACCATTAATAGGATTTGCTCATTTGGAGCCTCCATTTTCTATTAGATGTGTTGAAGTCGGTGATGATGAAGATACTGGAGATACAATTGGTAAAATAATCAAATATTAATATATTACATAATTATTAATTTTCATAATTAATTATTTAAAGGTAGTGTAATCAGAGGATTTTTCACGATTCACAAAAAAGATCCACAAAACCGATTACCAACATCATCAACTTGTTTTAATTTATTGAAGTTACCGAATTATAAAAAGAAAAATATTCTTCGTGAAAAATTATACTATGCTGTTACAAGTAATACTGGATTTGAATTGTCATAAAATATTACACTATAATTAGAGAAATACTTTTATTTAGAAATAATAATATGTAATATTCTTTACGTGTAAGAAGTCTTTATAATAAAAATTTTAACAACCAAATAAGATTATTTGTAATCTAAATTATTTCTAATCTACGTGTGAGAATGTATAAAAATATCTACTCAAATTTTGATTAATAATCGAAACAAAAATAAAGCATGTATTATTATTATATTATTTCATTTCATAATTGTTGTATGATAAAGTTTCTCATTGAATATTTTGTTTAATTTTTAGTATATTTATAATCATTAGTATATATAGTTATATATAATCATTTGGAATAATTATAATTTATTATTTAAAATCTAAAGTTTACAATAACAATATATACGAAATATTTAAGAAATATAGTAATCAATAAGTTATCACGTTTGTTGATTTTAATTTTTAATTTTTTCTTAAATCCAATATTATGTATACAATTATTTTATTATGCAGAAAAAATTGTTTTGCAATTGAATTCAAATTTCATGATAAATGTTCTTTAACTTTTATATCGGTAAAAAAAGGAAAAACAAAGGAATTTTATATTACAAATATTTACCTTCAACGAATTTGTGTATTTGTAATATCGTATGTAACTTAATTATAACTAAGAAAATATTTATATGTTATTATTAAGTATCTAACTTTACAATGTTGTAAGACCAGCGTCTAGTTTTACTTTTATGCTCTTGACCTAGTATATTCTATGACTTAAATCGATTGTAAAAATACCTGTGATTTGTCAAAATATATCCACACATAAAATTTATAAAATCTATTTTGTACTTGTTAATTGACCTACAAACGGTCTTGTAGGTTATATAGTAGTAACATAAATAATCTATTTTGCAACCAAAAATGATGATATTCAATATTAATACCAAAAGGAAAATAGCACATGTTATTATCCTAAAATATTAATGCTTTTTTCGTAGAGATTTAAAGTTCAGAACTACTTTTCCAATTCACTCTACCAATGGGTGATACCAGACGACATCACAAAAAATATTTGTTATTGTTCTATCCCTTCCACTTGCCTGTACGTTTTCTCTAACCATAACAACTGATTGTATTACTCTAATTTTAAAAAGTAAATGAATCAAATTTATTCTGATTTTAGATAAACAGAGATTTCAATTTCAAATTTAAGTAAGAAAAAAATAATAAGTAAATCAATAAGTAGGTAGACTTTAGTTTTACATGATTTGAAAAGGAAGATTGAAGGAGAACATTTTTTCACTAATAGAGATATTTTATCTATAATATCTTATATAATTTAGGAAATAATATATTCTTGCATCATTATTGTGTGGCCTTTCATTCAATATACCACTGATGTCAAATATAAGTCAATTGTGCTATTTTAATCGTTTTTTTACCCCGAAACTGGATAAACAAACATTACCAAGCCTTTAGAAATCACTATTTAATCTTTTCATCAGATATTGATCATTTCTATTTATATCGACAATAATAAATATTTGTTAACAGAGCTAAAGTTATCATTAGATAATAATTTAACATTTATTTTAAATAGTTTTATATGTATATTTAATCTAATTTAATTGCAAAGATATTTAGTGTAATAATACTAATAAATTCTTTATTCATTTTCGTATTAATATATTTCTACAAGTTTTTTGTGTTTAGCTAATGTAAAAAATAATTAATTTTCATTGAAGACCACAGTTTTTTTATAATTTAACCTTAGAACTTATTTTTAGATTCTACTAATAAACATATTTCTTAAGACATTTTTGCATATGATAATTGTGGAATACAAACATAATTATAAATGACACCGACAAAGATATCTTCGCATTTTTAGTTCGCCATCACCATTTTATTCACTAATTCAGTAATTTATATTAATTAGAAAAACATTTTTAATTAGATTAAGGTACATTGCTGGTTTACTTATGGTAAAATAGAATTTACATTTACAAACTACTATTAAATAGTACCGTATGTAATGTTCGTTTTTAATAAGAAACTTACCTTTTATTAAATCCCAATCTAGACATAGTATGCTATGTTTACTTTAAATATATAAATAATACATTAGTTATCGTATATTCGATATTAGATATCGTACTCAATTAAGTATTATTTTTTGTAAAAAAAAACACGACCTGTACTACGTTAAATGTATTATTGCAAGGAAAATATGCTAAAAATTGCAATCTTACAGTCATCAAACAAGTGTGTGATAAGTAGCTTGCATTTTGATTCCAAAAATATATTATGATAAAATTTTACCTTTATATAAATATTTTCATAAATATATTCTAAAATAATTTGATTTTTTTATTCCACGTACTTAATTATTTTCGATAGATTAGTGTTCGAGATTGCGAGAACCTTTTCCTATGCTATGAAACATCGGGCAAAATAACATCGTTTAATTCTTGTTAGATAATTAACCATAAAACATTTGGCAGTAGTATCATTAAGCATCTGGCAAAACAAGTTGTATGACTAGCGAAAACCCAACTCATTAGGCAGCTGCAAGGTATCGCATGCCCGAAAACCTGAATTCTAACGCTATGTACTGCCTCCACCCCTCTTGTTGTCAAGTTATCATCTGATCACCAGAGGCGTCGAGGGCATCGAGATCAAGAGCTCTTCTTACCGTGAAGATCAAGAGAAGACGAAGCCTAGGTAGGCGCTACCCGCGCTATACAAGTCGCAAACCAATTGAACACAAAAAAAGGAAGGGATCCTAAATGAACACCATGGTCAGTGAATGTATTTAAGAGAGACAATTACAAGATTCAAATACTGTCGGTAAATTCCTTATTATGTAATCTATAGATCTTATAATAAACAGGATTCACTTCTTACGGAAGAGTGTAAACTCTGTCATGTCTTAATGATGAGCTTGCTCCTTGATGGTGACAATGTCGTCGCCTCTGCTAGTGTTATAAGGACTAGCACAGATATGCTCACACTCCTGTGTAGGATATATGGCCTTGAAGTGTACATATGCACACACGCCGATATAGGATGTGTGGCCTTGAAGTGTATACAATAAAGTAGCTTCTGCTAATATTGCCAAGAATTGCAGACAAGCATTGCAGGCCATTTGAAACCAAAACATAACAAGTACACGAAAATTCTCGTCCTAACTGTTTACAGAAACCTGAGAACTGGAGAGACTAGCGATGCCGAGAGCCAACAGTCTTGGAAATTGCTGCAATCCTGAACACATAATTGTATACATCAATTACATAAATTACAGGTCGAGTTTCAGTTACTTTTTCCTATCTAACAATAATAAATGCATAGAATATAATCATTAATAGTTATATTAACTATTAGCTAGTACTTCCTTATGTTATTTAGCATTTTCTGGGTATTTAACTGCTTAATAGTTCATCATAAATAAATAATATAACAGAGACTTACTCGATGTATTTAAATTATCTTTTTGAATTATGTATTATAAAATAATATCGGCATTAAAATCAATGGTAAGAGTCACTATATTGAGTCATTACAATAAAAGGATGTTGAAAATAAAACAATGACATTTTTACCACAATTAAATTAATTATATATTTTATTTCACGTACCACCTAATATTTTTTAAAAAATATATAAGTTAACCTATTAAATATTTATCATATAACAACATTTTTGTTGAAATTACAAATAATAAAATTAATTACATATATTGTGTACATATATTTTTTTTATGTCGATGTGTGTTATAAAATGAGCTTCCAATCCTCATTCCCTATTAATAATATATGAGGCTATTATTTTCACAATATTTTGTTAAAGTTATATAATATTTTCTAATTGTTACGGATTACGGCAATTTTACGCGGTAAACAAAGTGAGAGTTAGAAACATTTGCGCGCCGAGTTATAAACATAATTCTGTATTCGATTATTACATTACAATTCCGACTAACAAGGGCCGACGAACTAACCAAGGCTAGACTCTAGTGACGTCACTCTAACGATCAGTATGACAAGAGTGATCCAGTAATCACCGGAATCGCAAGCCTGTTCTAGGATATTTAAGGAGACGCGCTTGACGCTCTCGCCCTCTTACTAGTTCAATCAAGCACTCATCAAGATCGGATCGCCATTCTACAGATGGACTCCAGTTTAAAGTAAGTCAAGCTCACTCGGCCTACCAACGCTGCTACCGAGAGCGATTCCAATACGTACGTAACGCTATTATACACGGCCCTACGTACTATCAATGCCACTGAGGTCGACCTCAACACACGTAAGCTACACTATTACACACGTTCTTACGTACCATCAATGCATCTGAGATCGACTCCAACACACGTAAGCTACGCTATTACACACGTACTTACGGATCACTAATAGACGGCTCCCGTTAACTAAGTAAGCAGCAACACTAATACACCAATACCGACGACTAGCTATATCCCGGTATACAGTACGAGGAATCCTCCCACCCGTCAAGCAGTGACGTGACACTGACATCCCCCCACTATCAAACCGCTACAGCGCTCATCATACGCCAGCGGCCAAGGCACCATCGCTGCCCCTTATCGGCGCGAGTCTCCCACTACCACTACGAGTTCATAACTACGAGTAGGAGAATCAAGCACCAAGCGACCAAGAATACACTTACAGAATTCTTGTCGCTAATATTAATTGAAGAAACTCTCATCTATTCATTGTATCATACATTCATTTCGACATACATAGACCACTGACAATTTATTATATTTATTATATTCAATAAAAAGGAAAGACACTACACTCAAAAGGCAGTGTTGAATTATTGCATTGTCCCTTCCACTTGCCAGCAAGCCTCCATCTACCATCACAGGGAGGCTTTTAGTCTGATCCCAGACACCAATCATTTTATATTTAATTTGAATAAATATTTTTAAAAAGCCTAATAGTTTTTATATCACTGTTTTAATGATTTTTTAATTCTATGAATAAATTGTAAATATGTTTTATATACTGACTGCTTGCTTTATGCGTTCAGTACCAAATATATAAATTACAATTA